CCCACAATCTTCTGAATTCGCCTCATCGCGTGGAGTATTGCGTTAGGGTGGTTCAAAATATCGATTTTGCTCCACCAAACCCAATCTATTTAAAATCAGGTCCTGATAATTATCCCAAAATATTAGCTCATTTGGATTCGAATTTATACTGCACTTGCCCTTTGAAGTTTATAAGAAAATCATTATGGTGTGACTTTTTTATTTCTTCAATGTACTACCCAAGTAACACTTGCAACATCTTGCATGAAAAATTAAAAAATATCCAGTTGTAAATCAGTTATAAATTCATTGCTTTTAAAACATCTCAACAAAAAACGTCTCAACTTATAGACGCGTTGTATTGTTGTTTGTGAAGTATTCAACCTTTCTGACAAGCACTTGTTATAATTCGATATTGCATGTCTCAATTACCAGTTTATAACTCGTTTATAACTGATTGTATTTGGTGAAAACTGGCTAGCCTTATGTACAACATGTTTTCATATGTCATTAATAGAAACATGAATACATCTGAGATATAACTTATTTATAACATGTTATTGATAAGTTATATTTCAGTTGTACTCATGTTTCCAAAAATGACATATGAAAACATGTTGTATTTAAGGCTTGCAAGTTTTCATCAAAAACAATCAGTTATAAAAGTGTTATTTATTTATTAATTTGTCTGCATCAACAGGCTGTGTAAAGCCCCAATGATGATTTAAGTAACTTATATAGGTAAAAATCAAATCAAAAAATAAAAACTAAGAATAAAATACATAAATAAAACACACAATCATTCACGGTTAACTGTGCCAGAAAAGAACGATGAGAAGTATCTTCGTAGCAGCTGTCGAGGCATATGGAAATCGAAGATGCCCGAGACTCGATTGAACACTCGTTGCAGCCCACCTATTGCACCGTTCATGCCATAGTTTGTGCGCTGAAGTGGCAATCTCAGTATAACGTTGTTACGTAGCGCACGGGGTTGGACGTTAATGTTGACTTGCCCCAAGATTGCACTGCAATCAATTCTACCTTGTAAAGTGTCCGCAATGAACAGGGCCCTAGAAGTGTCTCTTCTAGTTCGGAGAGGCTCCAGATCAATCAGCTGGCAACGACTTTCATAGCTGGGCAGATGAAATGGGTCTCTCCAAGGCAGCTTCCGCAGAGCGAATCGAAGAAAACGGCGTTGAACGGACTCAACTCTCTCAGCACCATTGTTGTAGTTTGGACTCCAGACCACAGAACAATATTCCAGAATGGATCGCACCAAGGAACAGTACAGTGACTTCAAACAGTAGATATCGGAGAAATTCTTTGCTATCCTGAAGATAAATCCCAACGTCCTAGACGCCTTGTCGACAACGTACGAGATGTGCTGCTTGTACGTAAGTTGAGAATCTAGAATAACACCCAGATCTTTCACATGGTTCACACGGTCGATAAGTTTGTATTCAAATGTGATTGGTTCTTTCTTCCGAGTAAAAGTGATCACTGAACACTTAGTGGGGTTTACCACCATTCGGTTCAAATTACACCAGCTGGCAAAGGCTTCGAACTGACGTTGAAGGAAGTGACAGTCATCAATCGAGTGGATTCGTAGGTAGATTTTAAGATCGTCTGCATACGATAGTCGTGGGCCTTCGAAGACCAAGTTCACGTCATTGAAGTAGAGTAAGAAAATCAAAGGTCCCAGGTGACTTCCTTGAGGTATCCCTGACGCTAGATAGATATTGGACCGGTTGTCACCAATGGCAACCATCAGTTGCCGATCAGTGAGATATGAACGAAACCATCGCAAGAGGTTGCCGCTGACCCCAAGTCTATGCAACTTGGCAATCGCGATGGCATGGTTTAGCTTATCGAAGGCAGCTGACAAGTCGGTGTATATGACGTCTGTTTGAGTCCTCTCTGCCATGCTTTCCGTAAGATACGATGTCAAACACAGCAGATTTGTGGAAGTAGAACGACCGGAAGTGAAGCCGTGTTGATCACCACTTAGATACTGCTTACAATGAGAGAGTAGAGGCTCCATGATGACTAACTCGAATAACTTCGAAACTGCACTCAACGACGTAATTCCACGATAATTGTCCACATCCCGTTTGCTGCCCTTTTTGTGGATAGGAAACATATGTGCGAATTTCCAACAAGATGGAAATGTACCACTCGAGATGGACAATCGAAATAGGTGAAGCATGGGCATCAGCAAGCTGGCGATATGCTTTTTCAGGAATACGGATGGAACGCCATCGGGTCCTGGATTGAAGGACGACTTGAGTTATGATGCGGCAGTGGAGAGTTGCCATGCCTAATTATAACTTCAATATACGATACAAGTAATGTTTTTGTTTTTCGTGTTATAAACATGTTTTGATAACAATTATGAAATTTCTCAATGCATTGTACAAACTGCACTACAATATGGCTAACCAATGAAGCAATGTATAGAATGAAAAAAACATTTAATTTGTGCGTTTTGTAAAAGAGAAAATTAGGATAATTAAAAAAGAAACTCGATATTCTATTTGTTTTTGTTTTTTTTGCAAAGTTGGGGAATTTTATCCAGGATTCTTAAAGCAATTCAATTTATTATATTGAGCTTTTTCTAAGAGCCAATGAGTTTTTCAGAAGTAGAATGTAAAGATTTACCATAAATTTGCAACCGCATAAATGTTTGCAGTACAGAATATCAGTTTAGGAACTTTATACGCACGATAAAATTCCTCAGAAGAATAAGTTGTGTAAATTGATGATAAACAAATTCCATTCGTAGGAAGGATGAAATTAATTTACGAACGATTGAAGTTTATTAGATCCAATAGCATAGAAGTAGACGATGTAAAGTTTTTAAGTTTAGAGTTTCGTTTTCATGTCAAATTCTAGTGGAATTGTATTCAATATAGGAATAGGACACACGAATTGTGTAAAAAATTAGTCTAAGATGACTCTTATATTATTATGAATGATAAATTCCTTCGCATGGAACATATTTGAACAGACAATGACGATATTTATTTTATTGGGAGAGAACTGATAAATAATAGAACCTAGAATTAACCTAGAATAGAATTAACCTCCGAATACCTCATAAGAAACTGTCAATCACTGCGTGAAGAGACAGTCCGGCTCAATGGCGGCGTCAATGTTTACGTCAATCTGGAAAGTTCAGAATCTCTTCAAGAACTTTATAAATTCATCTAAGATTGATTTTGTTTACGACAAGTTTTATAGTGGTATTAAAACAGTGAGATGCACGTTTAAATAACATTTAAAGAAAAAAGCAAAGGAAAACTATTTTGGAAAATGTTGAATCTAAGAAGTATGAAGAAAACATCTTTATACCTCATATATAACGTGGGATGTTAACTGCATCACTTATAATACATTTATACAACAAGCCGTTCTAATTCTTTTTCAAAAAGATGTTTTATGTGTTACTTGGGGTTTATTCAAAAAACAACAACAATGGACAGCCCTATGGGGTTGTACGCAATGGTGACGTAGGACTACGTCGTATTATATTATAAATGTTATTTGTTAACTGCAGCAGGAGCTTGTGTTTAGTGAAGGAATATGAATTTGAGCGGGGTTCTCTATGTGTATACTCTATAGTATGACGCGCTTGGCATAGATGACCCACAGCGACTCACGAAGACCTACTGATTCCAATCAATAGCGGTGCGACTTCTTCCTCCTTCTATAAATGCTCATGTGGGCTGCAGCTCTTTGCTGCAGGCAGCCTTTCGTTGTGTACTGGAGAACAATGTTCAACGCCACGCGCCGAAAGTACTGCTGCTGCTGATGCCGACGACCGGACACCACCACACACGGTGATTAGAACTGAATCCGATTAGCGGTTTGTGGGCAGCCTTAATAGCTAGCTGTTCAACTTTTAAATCTGTGTTAGGGAAACAGCTTTTTGCACGAAATTGGTGGTCATTTTAATTATCACATCAACCGATGCACATTCGTGCAATTTTCAATAGTGACATTTTGAATAATGATAGTCTTTAATTTACCAGATGCGTAGTAATATTTCTGATCGATTGGTTTTAAAATTATTGAAATTGGTCCAGGGGCAGCTGAGTTATTAATGTTCAAAATCTTTCATAATATTGTAACATGTAGTCCTACGTCAAAACATCTTAGGAAATAGTTCCGTTACTCTTCCGTAATGGATGGTGTTGATGGTGTTTTCGGTAACAAATTCAAAATGGAGTTATCTGCAACAAGTCACACATACAGTAATACAATATTTTGGTTTAAATTCAACTATGAAATGTGACATTTTGACAGCCGCCATAGTGAAACGCCGATGCACGCTGCCGACGCCGATCAAAGTCAATGGCGTCACGCCGCCGCCGCCGAGGCAAAAACGGTTTCCACACCACCGCCACTGATGAAAGGACCGGCGTACATGTCGAATCTGTAGACCATTTAGGTCCATCGTTGTATATTTGTATAGAATGGGAATTATGGGTTCGAATCCCACCGATGCCCTTAGATTTTAAATGTGATGATATGTGCTTACCTCGCAGTATGTTCAAACTTTCTCATAACCAATTAAATTGACCGCAATGTCACTAAGCCATAAATCAAAGTGTTGTTTCCACTGCCGAATCTGTCGGCAAAACCATTAACGGGGGCGAAAACTGGCGAAAACTGTTCCAGCGGACTGAGGGAGGCCGATGCACATGCGGTAAAACTGAACAATGTGAATTTCAGAGATAGTGAATAAATTCTACTATACGCACTGGTGGTTTGGTGGTAACTGATCATAATTTTAATTCTTGTTCGTTTCCTGTCTTCTACACTGCATGTCGTGTGTGTGTATAGGTGTGTTTTTCATTTCAATGTTAGCTGTCAATGCAAGGGTGTGAATTCAAAGTAAGTTATATCCAAGGTAAGTACAATTATTACAGGACAGTGTATCAAGTAAGTGATTTAGTGAAGTTGAGTAGAGGTAATTGTTCGGAAGCCACAACATCACGGCCCCTGTTGAAGCGCAGCATTCAACCAACAGAAGAAGAGGTAGGTACATCGGTCAGCTGAGTTGGCTTGATTGATCCCGCTACTGTTTCACTTGGGATGTCATTAACTGGTAGCAGACACAGCCCCGTTGTTGCACGACGACGAATTCCGGATTGAGTGCGGACGTCCACGACCCGTACGATGTTGTCCTTGTTCGGGTAGACCACAACAACACGCCCGAGAGGCCATTGTTTGGGTGGAACGTTGTCGGTCTTCAACAAAACCATTGCACCGACCGTGACGTCGGTAGGGATTTTCTTCCACTTAGTTGGACGCTGATGCAGCAAACCGTTGTATTCTTTGGACCAGCGCTTCCACAAGTCGTTCATGGCTCGATGTGTCGCCTGGAAGTGGGATAGGCGATTAATGGGAATGCTTGTGTAGTCTGGCTCCGGAAGCCAGAAGGCTGGTTCACCCAGCAGGAAATGTGCAGGAGTGAGTACAGAGAGGTCTTCAGGATGATTGGAAAGTGGAGTTAAGGGTCGTGAATTCATGATGCTTTCCGCCTGAGCAACGGCCGTGCGAAGATCGTCAAAGTGGTAAGGTGATGAGCCAAAGATCCTGACGAGATGGTGCTTGAAGCTCTTCACCGCAGCTTCCCAAAGCCCACCACAATGTGGTGCTTTCCGAGGTATGAACTGGAACTCGATGCCTCTTTCCAGGCATTCGGTAGCCCATTCGTTGGACTTCAGCTGCTGGACGAGTTGTTGTCGCATCTCCTTTATTTCGCGAAACGCGTCGACGAACGAGGTGCTATTGTCGCAGTGTATAACGCGAACGCGACCGACGTGACTCACAAAGCGCCTCAACGAATTGACGCACGCAGCAGCTGGCATCCCGGCGACGATGTCCAGCACAACGGCCTTTACGGCGAAGCACACGTACACTGCGACTCAGACTTTTACCGAAGCGCCCCTTCCCGCAACGTTCGAACGACAACGGAAACACGTCACACAACGATGCACTGTCCTTCGAGCGAGGTCTCTACCACGAATCGGCCAGAAACACTGCTTGATGGTCGCGAGCAGTTGTGTTGGTCCGGCGTGCAGAGTTTGATGATGAATTGATCTAGCAATTAACCGTGAGAGATGATGATCGGCAGGTAACAGGATCGGAAAGCGATTGTCGAAGGTGCCAGGTGACTGAGCTAGGCGACCGTTCAAACGGAGGAGCCCTGCGTCGTCGATCAACACGTCAATGTCTTTGAGCGGAGACTTGAAGCCAGCTTTTTGCAGAGCCAAAAACTTTTGGTCGTGGTTCTGCAAATATTGTAGTTCCTGATGGAAAGTTGTTCCTTGTGCAACTCGAATGAGAGCTTTGAAGGCATTGTTGTACTCCATCGGTGTGACCCGCCCGAAGGTTCGAGCATGGCTCGGAAATTGGCAGTTCTTCGCAAAACGAAGGCAGTACGAAGCAACCTTGAGAAGATGAGACAGTTGCGAAAAGTCCTGGATGAGTAATGGTATTATTGGATCTGGCCAGGATTCTGGTCCTGATAGTAGATATGGTGGCCCATGCCACCAAAGTGCGTCATCGCTGATGTCCTCGGGTTGTACAGTTACCAGGTTAAATCTTCCAAGAGTATAGTAGAGTTTAGTAAGAAGTTCAAAACAAGCTGGGAATTAGGAAAAAATAATGTACAAAACAATGATGGCCACATCATTGCAATACGCCACTCAGATAGCAGTGTTGGCAAAAAAAGTAGGATAGCGATAGTTAACTACGAAAATCTTATTTTGAGGAGCATATGTGGGCAGCGATCTTGCGTTAAAAAAGCGATATTAAGTTTAATGCAAGGAAGCTATAAGAAGGCAAAACAATAAACAGGAGAATTAGAGTTGGACGTATAAGCTACTTTGGACATGGCTTGCGTAGAGAAAATAAGCACTCTTTGAAGCTAGCATATAACTTAAATTTTGAAAAGAAATAAAAGAGGGACGGCCTAGTTTAACTTGGTGAAAGTCATTAGAACAAGACTGCCAAAAATTTAATAACATGGATAGAGCGAGTTTTGAGGTGCTTTTAACGGACAAGGAAAATATGAAAAGGAAATTAAAGGAAATATATAAGAATGACGAAAGTTAAATTTCAGAAGGAGAGTCATCACATGAGAATGACAAAGTGAAGAAGGATAAGCATTGAAAAGCTAAAATAAGAAGTGAAACGTGATGAGAGAACAGTGATTAAATAAAGTTGGCCAGGAGGGGTAAGTTTTCAAATATAAATTAAGATAAAACTACTTTTGAACATATATGGACATATTATGAGGGTAGAGATGGGACCATCAGGGCACCTGATTGAAGCGATTTGGATGAGGAGAGTGGAATTGCCAACTTCCTGTCGTTAACAGATCGTGAATTGAAGGCGGGCTCTTCTTCCCCACTTATTGGGACATCCCCTCGTACGATGACTTGTCCATTACTGGGTTGTAGGATTTTATCGTTGGAAGGAGATTCTCCTTAATCCCGCGGACTAAGCGTAAGTGTATCTGCTACGGGTTCGCCCTCCGTTTTTGGCCTTTCATACAATGGTAAATTGAATACAATCAGGTGTTGTATTTGATCAAGTCGTAGTCAAGGAGGACAGTCCACTGTCTAATGGTTCTGCCTCCAACAATGAGTGGTTTCCTTTACAAACAACTCCAAGATCAATTAGATTAAGCGAGTCAGATACTATGACATCTTCAATTTATCTATCTATGGGTAGCTTCAGTAGCGGAGTAATTACTGGTAGCTTGAATATCTTTCCATTCTCCTGGATCTTGTAGTGTTGATAATGTCCTTCATACATCCATTCAGACAGACAGAATTAGTTCTACGAATTGTTGAAGTGTTGGAAAATATGTTAGTTTGTAATAAATTTGAATGATGACTACTGTGCAGCACTATAAACCACCGTGAGTTGAAATTCACTACCCCTACAATAAAAGAGAAAGTGTTTTTAAAATAATGTTTTTAAGGGATTAAAAACAATACCTTTTATTAGCGCATATAAATGCTTGAATTTTTACAAGCATCTCAAATTCGTTAATTACCAATCCATACTCTAAATTTGGATCGATTTCCCTTACAAACGTTATTGGAATGACCATAGATCGTGGGAATAAAACACTTGTGTATCCTACGATGTACAAAACTATAAGAGAGTGAATGTTCTTTATTACCGAGCTTATATTGAGGTCAATATGGTAACATGGAACAAATTCAAAATTATTATGGCATGCTGCGTTTACTCGTCGTCATTGTCTCCCACAAACGTCTCTAGAAATTGTTAGATTTTCTTTGGCTTCGAGCGGCCATGGAAGACACCAATGACCATGGGATCGATTTCTGGCATACTTGGTTTTCTGACCAATTGGCTGATCAAGTTTTTGCAAAGAGATTCTTTACTGTCCCAAGGAAATGAATAGGCGAATTGCCTATCAATCCATCCATTCGTTTTTGGCCCTTCATACAGCGATTTGCTGATGACAATCAGAGGCTATTATTTTTTAGGCATATTTGTTAAAGAATCTTTCAATTCCCAATTAGGTATAGGGATGTCAATCATTACTATAAAGCCTTCATTAATTTCCCATAAAATTCCCTCAAATTAAACGAGAATTTTCAATTCTTCTGAACAATGACAACAGCGAAAATACGAATTTTTTTCAATATGTTTTATGATTTTTCGAAGTGCTATGTATTCGAAAAATATGGATGCACACTCAAATAGAAATTTCAGCTTTCGGCTAATTTGCACAAACAAAATCAAATATATCCCTCCTTCTTATCGCATCAACAGTAAACAAATATGCCACTTCCGTTGATCCTCCAATCCCCATATTTGCTTTAGCCTGATTTGACAAAGTAGCACCCATTTTCATCGCATAATAAATATCTATTATCATAAATTTACCCCCACCCCGAATATTTTCCTACTTCTTCCAACCAACCAACGGTCACTCCCCTCGATCCAAGTCGATCCGTCTGTCACACATGCTCCGTAGTGTTTATGTGCCAAGGCATTGTTTGATTAAAATTATGAAAGTTTTGCCACCTTCCCCCAAGTCCAAGTGCGAATGCAGCCGTAAGGAAGTTCCCCCAACCTGGCACATACGTGTCACCCAAATTGAATAAGTCACGCTTTGGTCAAAATTGACTTGATTGGAATTCGGATCGGATTAGAAAAGAGCGCGGAGGAGAGGGTGAAAAATCGATAAACACTGTTGGTCAAAGGCAAGGAAAAATCGATTTAACTGAGATTTTTCCCCCGGAACATACATAGGGGAATTTACGTATTCTCGTCAATCTAAGCAGCGTCTGTGTTTCTTATAGCATTTTCTCAGCGTCTGCTTGCTTCTCTATCAATTCCAATCGACAGAATTGTTCAAAACTGATTGAAAGCATTTTTACAACGCTCCAAACTTCTCAGGTGAGAGTGACGATTGTCGGCAGCTTCCATTTGAACTGCGTGTTAACCAGCTGTACTATTATTGGTAGCTGAAAGACTAAGGAATTGTTTGAATACATACAGCGAAGTGTTTGATGAGAAAATACAATGAAATTAACGGTTAAATTTTGGTTGCCAAAAACAGTTAATGGGTGCCGAAGCCGACATTTACCCTAGCTCTCTGCTGGTGCTGAAAATTGTTATTCAGTCGGTGAGCCTAATGAATGAGTAAACAGTTTGCTGCTTTTCCCTCTGTCGCAAGTAGTGGACATCTGTTGAAATAAATGGCATTCCTGGGTGAAATTGACTTGCCATTGTTTCCCTCTAACCAAATCAGATCAATCATATATCGAAGTAGGCACATGCATGAGACGAACCTGGACGTAGTAGGCCGAAAGCAGGCCCAAGGATCCGGACGTGCAGAGTATGTCACAAGTGAGACGGCAAAAAAGCAATTACTGTAATCCGCTTATCGACCAGAAATTGTTTCAGATGAGTATCTCTCTCTCTCTCTCTTTCTCTCTCTCGACCTATGCATAAGAAATTGTGTTCTCTGTTTGAATCATCACAAAGGAAGTGGCTGGGAAAAACATACCAGAATGCTACATCAATTGATACATTGAATATTCATTGCCTCAATTGAATGAAAGGCCATCCAACAGAATTTCCAAGAGCATGTCGGTGATAATAAATATCAAACAGTTTTGATATGCCTCCGAAAGCTACATCGTTTCAAAGAACGTCGATGTTTCGCCTCAGTAAACGCAGACATAGATGATTCAAGCACAAATAAGCATTTTCCCGAAAATCCAGTGCATCAGACAAATTAATCAAACATCTCCACTTTGGGTTGCCAACTTTTGAAGTCAAGGGTATCGCATCATACAACGGAACCAGACCAATGCCAGACGAAAACATCCACAAACAGTCCCCACTTTATGCGGTGTTCTAGAGCCACCAAATCACCAACGACCGGTCATCGCTGTGCTTTGAAAGCATCGGGGCCTTACACGTCTAGTTCGCCCCCGGATTCACGACAACAATTAGCAAACATAGAGCATGACTTTAGAATAACATGCATACCACATGCCATTGCGGGGTGCAACTTGCATTGAGATCGCAGCAAGCGACGATGAGAAAAAATCTTTGCCTTGACAATGAACTCAAAACTTTTGTTTTCCATCGTAGCTAGCCATGAGCACGATGAACGGTGGATCAAATCTGGACTTGAATTGAAAAGCCTGCTTTGGTTCATGAATGATTAATGAAAAAGCTCCTGATTCTTTTTTTTTATGAGAAGTTCCACTATTTTCGAATCGCATTTTGAGCCCTAACATTCACCAAAACGATTCTCGGTGATTCGTGGGATCCAGCGAGAGCCTATTGCGGGCAATTGTTCAGTTGCACAACGGACAATTCGGACGGATTCGACCCGAAACGAGACAGACAGACAGACAGGCAACCAACGCCCGTAGAACGAAAACTTATTTTGCAGCGCACAGAGAACATGTTTATAAATGCATAAATTTTCAATTTGGTCGCTGCAGTTCTATAGTCAGTATATTCCGAGAACTTTTGCGGGGTCTGGCTGGTTTTTTCCACCAGTGAAACTGACCGCCATCGCCTCGGGTCTCTGTGGAAGCCGTATACCTACTGGGGTGAATAGTGCCAGCGCATCCAGTAGCGGCGTTGTGTCGAGAATTTATAAATACTATCGTAGCTATTGCAACTGCATCTCTGCTCCGACTGTTAGAGGCGCTGTTGATGATGATGATGATGATGATGATGATGATGATAATGGAGGGGGTGGTGGTGATGATCCGCGTGACTATGTGAGAAACTGATGTGTGGAAACTGGATCCGCTGGAGGCGAGAGAGGTCAACTATCTACAATTTGCAGCTTGACCCT